CTTAATTAATTAATTTTAAATCTTCTATTTGCCTTAATCTTGTTAAAAAAAAAAATCAAAAGTTATTTCTTTTATTTCAACTTCACACAAAACTTTCATGTTTAAGCACTTTAGTCTAAAAGTTTCAAACCTTTTTAAATCAGTCCTTTATTTTTATTTTAATCAAATCAGTCCATTGAATTTGTATTTGTGCTAATTGTGCATACATGTCTTTTATTTTGTCCATTTTAGTTCAAAATTTAAAAAATGTTTCAATTTGGTTTATCCTTTTTTAAGTTTCCCTATTAAGACTTAAGCATAAAGATAATAAATAATTTGAATTAAAACCCCAATTTTAAAGTATGCAATCGTGTTTAAACGGAAGATTGTGAGGTGCGCGTATGCCTTTCCTCATTCCTAATTGAACTCTCGAACCTCGATCTGTACGCAGACCCGTTTTAGGTGACTTGTCCCACCTTATAATTTGGACGAGTGGCGACTCCCTTTTCTTATATTTTTCACACTTAATTTTTCATTGTTTTGAAAAATTTTAAATGGTCGTCAACAGGCTTCAAACATGCAGTATTAAATTTAAGCATGCATTAAATGAGTTGAAAACAGATTGCGCAGCAGACAACTTTCAAGTGAAGCCCACAAACATGAATCCTAAGCTCTTTCAGAAGCTTGTTCATATATGGACCAAGGTAATGAAGTAGTTTGTTAAAATTTTTAAATATTGACAATAGCAATACTTAATTATTTTAAATCATATGAAAATATTTTCATCAATTTTTCAGGATGAAGACCATATTAGACGGACTAATGCTGCAAAGGCAAATCAAGCCAAAGGCCCAAAAGTCACACACACTAGTGGGTCTATGGATGTTACTAAATATAGGAAGAAAATGGTATAAAAATTAACCATGTTTTTGAAAGTTAATAATATTTTTATATTAATATATATTTGTCTTAAATTTTGTAAATTTTTCCATTACAACAAAGTGTAGATCCAATGGGTAATCCACCCTCATTCCCAGAGGTGTACACAAGTAGGAGGCAACATCGACCAAAAGGAAAAGACCAGCTGCCCACATACTGCAATGATGAGGCTAGGGAAATTAGCGTAAGTATTTAATAATATGAAATATAAAACTTAAAGTTATTTATTAATGGACTAAAGTTAGTTTTGAATAGCGTTATTATTCATCTTACCTAACAAGTTGGCTATTATTGCTCTTGTTTCTTCTCTTGAATTTGGCACTTTTGCTACTCAAAACTCTTGAATTTTGCTTTTGGAAATGAATCTCCATTCTTGACTTCAAAAAATAATGTTAGATTCTAAGATTTTCATAGAAGAAGATGTGATTTAATTGGGGAATCAAGGGCTAGGAGTAGAAATATTTAAGGTTTTGGTGCTAGTGATGAATTGTGTCCATGATTCAAACCACATTGGTTTCACATCCAGCAAGGAGCCAGAATTTAAGCAATCTTTCTTTCTCAATGTATATAAGAATCTCATCATTCTTTACTTTGATATGCTATTTGTTTAAGAATAAAGAAAACATAGTTTTGAATAGTATTATTATGCAAATTATATTGAATGTGGTGCGTGTATTTTGTTGGTAAAAGGTCGATTTTTAGAGGAGACTCTACTGAATTTTTTAAAATTTAGTATGAATTAATCAAAATTATTGATATTACTTATTCTAAGTAATTTCTTCATCATCATTATCATCAAGGATTTTGCAATCATCTTCAAAATCCCATGTGGGTTTTCCTTCTGACTTTGATGGGTTTTTCATTATTATGACATAATTAGATATTTATATTATTATTATGACAAGAAGCCAGAATTTAAGCAATCTTTCTTTCTCAATGTCTATAAGAATCTCATCATTCTTTACTTTGATATGCTATTTGTTTTAAAATAAAAAAACATAGTTTTGAATAGTGTTATTATGCAAATTATATTGAATGTGGGTGTGTGTATTTTGTTGGTAAAAGGTTGATTTTTAGAGGAGACTCTGCTGAATTTTTTAAACTTTAGTATGAATTAATCAAAATTATTGAAATTACTTATTCTAAGTAATTTCTTCATCATCATTACCATCATGGATATTGCAATCATCTTCAGAATCCCAAGTGGGTTTTCCTTTTGACTTTGATGGGTTTTTCATTGTTATGACATAATTAGATATTTATATTACTATCATGACTACTATAGATTTTTCCATATTCATATTAACCATTTTTTTCGATGTTTATATGATTTCAGGAAAAATTAGCATCTGAGTATGCAACTAAGGAAGGGGAAGAAGGATTTGACCCAACACAAATCCATGGTGACCTATTAATGATAGCAACTGATGGGATGAAAAGGGGATGGTTAAAAGGTCTTGATATCCACACCCATCAACATGATGTAGGTGTCAGTGCCAGGCGAGAGCCTTTGAGGCCCCCAATAATGCGGCACTCTCCCCAAGTTGAGGAGTTACAACAAACTGTTCAATCATTGAAAGATGAGTTACAGGGGACTCAAGTTGAGCTACAGGGGACTAAAGCTGAGCTGCAGGCATCCCCAGTTGAGTTTAAGGCATCTAGAGCTGAGTTTGCTCTTATGCAAGCATCAAATATGTCTTTAGCTGAAAATTTACAATTCTTGTACCAACAGCTTGGCATGACACCTCCCTTTACCAATGGCGCTACTACTCCCAGGACACCACATCTGTAGGCCTCATAAATAAGATGTTAAACTTACATATCTATAAATACTAACATAATATTATTATAAACTAGCTATTATTATCCCTCTGTTCTAGCATATTTGCTTAAATTCTTGGTTGTCCACTTCATAGTAGGATTTATTCTAAAGAAACTTTCACATTCTAATAACATTTACAAGAAATTAAAACATATTGAGGCTTTATTCAAACCACTGTTGGTTTGCCCAACTTATTCGGACCAATATTGGTCTGGAAAACATATTCGGACCAACATTGGTCTGAATAACACCACCAAAATCTACAAACTTCTTTTCTAAGACTTTTCATTCTTTTTATTTAAGGATAACTTGGCTTTCTAGAGGCCTTTGGATTTAAGTATAGGCTCTAAGCTATTCAAGGCCTTTAAATATTGTTGTTAAAGTGAGATTACAATGGATTGCATACGGTTTAAGGTGTGTGAGATTACAATGGATCGCATACGTTTTAAGGTGTAAAAAAAAAAAAAATTGAGCATGATATTCGGACCAACTTTGGTTTGGAAAACAATATTCAGACCAACATTGGTTTGAATAAATCTCATAGAATCTACAAGCTTCTCTTCTAAGACTTTTTCATTCTTTTCATTTAAGGACAACTAGGTTTTCCCAAACTCCAATTCCATTTCTATCGAAGCCATGTGCACACACTGAACCACCATAGTCATCCATAACCCCAGCACCATTAGTCAAGCACCTGAAATTGGTTTTTAGTGATGTAAGGCAACATCATTGTAAAACCTTACATGCAAGGAGTTAACATTATTAACTTTATACTTATACCACACCATTACTGTCACGCCCCAGAACTCAAATTTGAGGTGTAAAAAACGCCGTGCACTCGTGAGAGGGTCCCACAAATGCACAAGGCTCGAAACTTAATCATACCACAATCTGATATCACAAAATCTGAAGATAAAAATCTTAAAATTTGCCCTGATATCATAAAATCTCCAAATAAAGTCTAGCTTACAAGATCATGATTTATATCTAAATTTCATATCCAATTACAATATGGCTAGCCTTCTAACTTGTCACTTCCCTCGTTTTTCCCCGTCCTTGACTTCGCTTCCTAAAATGGTGGACAAGGAAAAACTATGAGATAACTCAGTAAGTAAATATGGATAGCCCGTGAGTAAAATTTTAGCATGCCTGATAAACAGTTTAACATAACAAAACGCTCAATGATAAACCATTAATGCAAAATAAGATTCAGTTCAATAACAAAGCGTTCAATGACAAATTGTTAATGTATAAGAAAATTCAGTAGTAGTCTCATCTATAAGTCATGGCTAGCGTTTAACACCCACTGGCAGGCGTTAGAAATTACCAATGTGTTTGCCCATTGGCAGGCGTCGGAATTTACCAATGTATTCGCCCAGTGGCAGTCGTCAAAAATTACCAATGTATTCGCTCAATGGCAGGCGTCAGAAATTACCAATGTATTATCCCATTAGCAGGATTACAAAATGAACTAGTCATATCAGTAAACATGTCGACATCTGCCAGCGTTTGCAAACTCCCACTGGCGGGCGTCAATAATCATGACTATATCAGAGACAAAACCATGCAGGATTTACAGAATAATCCGTAATTCACAATCAATCTCAAATTTCAGAAATAAACCAGAGAAATTCCATGTGAACATGGATTTAACAGAAAAATCAGAATTTACAAAATTTTCAGATCACCAAGGCAGTTAAGCAAATTCCAAGTAGGCATGCTTTACTCAATGAAAATGAAAATAATTTCATTTCAAACTAGTCATGCTCGGTACTAACAAAATCAATTTAAACCTTGCCACTATCTCAAAAACAATTTAAAACATGCTTTGAAATCGAAGGGCGTTACCATAATTTACTTACCTCAAATCACATAAAATCGAAGACTCAATCCACATGTTCTAAGCCATAACAGCACCTAATATTCCGAATAAATACATTCAGACTTTGCTAGAATTATTAGCACAACCTTGCAAATTTACTAACCAATGAGCTTCACACGAAATTCAACCATATGACCAAACATCTCAATTTTATTCTCAATATAACTACACATTTAAACCCTCCTATTGTTGGCCATTAGTGCGTGAACAGTGCCCATGAACAGCACCCATGAACAATACCCGTGAACAGTAATAATGCAGTGAACAGTAACTGCAACTTCCAAAAATTGGCAAAACCATAGCTAATCTCACGGGATTTTTCTCCAAAATCACAGCAGCCCAAATCAAGCTAATGTACACTTAAACCAAGCTTAAAAACATAGCTTAAGCTACCGAAACTTCCCCATTTTTCAACAGATTTTCGGACAGCATAGGGCAGCAATTTAACAGACAAATTTCCAGCAACTAATGGGTAATTTGGGACTTAAATGGAGCTGCCACTTACCAAAATTTAGCAGCAAAAACCGGAGCTGCAGTTTGGGGAAGAGCCGACGGGGAGTGCAGGAGAAATTCAGGGGGAAATCTACCGGAATTGGGAGGAACCAAGAAAAATTAGAGTAAACCCAAGCCAATTCAAGGAAGAACAAAGGAATTAGTGGCTGTTTCTTACCAGAATTTTGAAGGACTCACACCCAAACAATGAAGAGCAGTCGACGGAAGGACAGAGCAGAGCAGATCTAGAAATTCCTGCAGGGGGGGAGGTTTCTAAGCTCAAATCTTGTTCTTGAACAAGAAAAGAAAGGCAAAAATCATCAAGCTTTACCGGTTTTTTTCAAGGGGAGGTGTGGGTCGGCTTGGGTCTTCTTGTTTGGTGCAAGGAGAAGAAGAAGAAGAGCAGAATCGGGCTGAAGAAGAAAGAGGAAAAGGAGAAAAAAAATCAGCCATCCTTATCCAAATTTTCCTCTTTTAAGTCCCTGAACTTTGAAATTCCGATTATTAAGCCCCAAAACAAATTTTTCTCTCACAAAAACCCTTACTTAATGCTAAAATATGACAAAATTTTGGGATATTACAATTACAAAACCATATACTCATTGGATTATTATTGTTAGTTTTAAAAATAGATTCTAAGCTATTCAAGGCCTTTAAATGTTGTTGTTCATGTGAGAGTATAATGGTTTAAGGTGTCAAGAAAAGACAAAAAAAAGAGTAAATTGTGCAAGATATTAGGACCAATGCTAGTCTGGAAAACATATTCGGACCAACATTGGTCCAAATCACACAACCAGAATCTACAAACTTCTTTTCTAAGACTTTTTCATTCTTTTCATTTAAGGATAAGTTGGCTTTCCAGAGGCCTTTGGATTTAAGTATAGGCTCTAAGCTATTCAAGGCCTTTAAATGTTGTTGTTGAAGTGAGATTACAATGGATCGCATACAATTTAAGGTGTAAAAAAAAAAAAATGAGCACGATATTCGAACCAACTTTGGTCTGGAAAACAATATTCAGACCAACATTGGTCCAAAAACCTCTTGCAGAATCTAGAAACTTCTCTTCTAAAACTTTTTCATTCTTTTCATTTAAGGACAATTAGGTTTTCCCAAGCTCCGATTCCATTTCTACCGAAGCCATGTGCACACACTGAACCACCATAGTCACCCATAACCCTGGCACCATTAGTCAAGCACCTGAAATTGGTTTTTCATGATGTAAGGCCACATCATTGTAAAATCTTAAACGCAAGGAGTTAACATTATTAACTTTATACTGATGCCACACCATTACGAAACCATATACCCATTGGATTATTATTGTTAGTTTTAAAAATAGGTTCTAAGCTATTCAAGGCCTTTAAATATTGTTGTTCATGCGAGAGTACAATGGTTTAAGGTGTCAAGAAAAAAAAAAAAAAAAAGAGTAAACTGTTCAAGATATTCGGACCAATGTTGGTGTGGAAAACATATTCGGACCAACTTTGGTCCGAATAACACCACCAGAATCTACAAACTTCTTTTCTAAGACTTTTTCATTCTTTTCATTTAAGGATAACCTGGCTTTCCAGAGGCCTTTGGATTTAAGTATAGGCTTTAAGCTATTCAAGGCCTTTAAATGTTGTTATTGAAGTGAGATTATAATGGATCGCATACGGTTTAAGGTGTAAAAAAAAAAAAATTGAGCACGATAGTCGGACCAACTTTGGTCTGGAAAACAATATTCAGACTAACATTGGTCCGAATACCTCTTGCAAAATCTAGAAGCTTCTCTTCTAAGACTTTTTCATTGTTTTCATTTAAGGACAACTAGGTTTTCCCAAGCTCCTATTCCATTTCTACCGAAGCCATGTGCACACACTGAACCACCATAGTCACCCATAATCCTGGCACCATCAGTCAAGCACCTAAAATTGGTTTTTCATGATGTAAGGCAACATCATTGTAAAATCTTAAACGCGAGGAGTTAACATTATTAACTTTATACTTATGCCACACCATTACGAAACCATATACCCATTGGATTACTATTGTTAGTTTTAAAAGTAGGTTCTAAGCTATTCAAGGCCTTTAAATGTTGTTGTTCATGTGAGAGTACAATGGTTTAAGGTGTCAAGAAAAAAAAAAAAAGAGTAAACTGTGCAAGATATTCGGACCAATGTTGGTCTGGAAAACATATTTGGACCAACATTGGTTCAAATAACACCACCAAAATCCACAAACTTCTTCTCTAAGACTTTTTCATTCTTTTCATTTAAGGATAAGCTGGCTTTCCAGAGGCCTTTGGATTTAAGTATAGGCTATAAGCTATTCAAGGTCTTTAAATGTTGTTGTTGAAGTGAGATTACAATGGATTGCATACGGTTTAAGGTGTCAAAAAAATAAAAATAAATTGTGCATGATATTCGGACCAACGTTGGTCTGGAAAACAATATTCAGACCATCATTGGTCCAAATAACTCCCGTAGAATCTAGAACCTTCTCTTCTAAGACTTTTTCATTCTATTCATTTAAGGACAACTAGGTTTTCCCGAGCTCTGATTCCATTTCTACAGAAGCCATGTGCGCGCATTGAACCACCATAGTCACCCATAACCCCGGCACCATCAGTCAAGCACCTGAAATTGGTTTTTCGTGACGTAAGTTAACATCATTGTAAAATCTTAGACGCGAGGAGTTAAGATTATTAACTTTATTTTATGCCACACCATTACGAAATCATATATCCTTTGAATTGTTATTTTTAGTTTTAAAAATAGGTTCTAAGCTATTTAAGGCCTTTAAATGTTGTTGTTCATGTGAGAGTACAACGGTTTAAGGTGTCAAGAAAAAAAAATAAAAAAAAGAGCAACCTGTACACTTTATTTGGACCAATGTTAGTTTGGAAAAATTATTCGGACCAACATTGGTCTGAATGTTTAAACTTTTTTTTATAAATATTTTATATCTTTTTTTAAGTTGATCCGTGCCTTTTTTTCATTTGATATGTATACGGACCAAAGTTGGTCCGAATACTTTACCGCCCTTTTAGCCAAAAGTGTTTGAAAGCTGAATGTAAAATTTTTTCATTATCCGGACCAAAGTCGATCTGAAATAAAAAACCGCTAAATATTTCAGCAACGTTTGAAAGTTTTGGTGCGCATGGCAGCAGTTTATTGAATATATTTCGGACCGTTTATGGTCTGAAATAAATTTGCCTATATATTATCTTCAGCTGCCTCTTCTGCAAAATCTTGTTTTGTGCCTTTTCTCAGTTTTCCTTCTCTCCTTCTTCATTTTCTCTTTGGTTCCCCTCTGTTCTTTCTCTCTTTGTCCTAGTTTCG